CATTACACTTTAATTAAAAATGAGGATAGTTTAAATTACTGTATGCCAAAATACTCCAAATTAGATGAAATGAATTGCTAGAAAAATACAACTTAGAAACACAACTTAGAAATACACAAGAAACAGAAAATCTGAATAGTCTTATATCTTTTAAATACATTGAATTTGTAATTAAAAGTTCCAAAAGGAAAAACACCCAGATAGTGTCACCAGCCACTACTGCCACACACCTGAGGGAAAAATAATGCAAATTGTGACAGATACCTTTTATGCCCCAAATCACATCCTGTCAACTTCCCTTTTAATCCAGAGGAGGGGAACACTTATCCACGGTTTCCTGTCCTGCCTTGGTCAGTGGTTGTCCTTGGAGTGTTAACTCCTTTGTGCTCCCAGGTTGTACATGTGTAAGGGAATGTTAGTAGGAAGGTTCCCACCAGCGTCCCATGCCTCAAGTCAGAGAAACCATAAAAGTAAAAGGTGAAAAATATGCAGGGAGATGCTGCCAAGCTTCCCCTGCCCCAGACTGGTTGCTGCTCCCTCTTCTTTCTCTTGAATGGACAGAGGAAATTCTATAGCACTGCATGGACGATCCCAGCAGGATTAACCCTCATTTGTCCCCAGCACGTTTCTTTTTGCTTTCATTCCTTCCCAGTTTCACATTTCCTGGTTCCTTGTTTCTGTTCTCTGTCATGTTGCATTTATATTTCAAACCTCTGCTCTTCCTGCAGCTCTATATCTGTCCTGCGTCTGTACATCTCACAAGGTTTCTTACAGGATCAGATTGTGTGCATCCTTCCTTTTGCGAGACTTCAGCTCTATTAACATCACAAAGGATCACACTGTAACAGAAAGTAGACAGTGTCTGCATCTCTGAAATTTACTTATTAATTATTAAAACTCATCTTATTTGCCTGAAGCTAATTTATGTAACAGGAATCTGTACATTTCCCTTTACCCAAACTTTCCAATCGTCAATGTTATCAGCATTCAAGCATGGTTAAAAAAAAATTGTGTATGTACTAAAAATACCATTGTTTTCTATGGAATTTTTTCTTTCTATGCCACATGCTATGAAGTGTAGTATGTTGAGCATCACGAGGCATTGCACTATCCATCTCCAAAAAAATATACTCAAATGACACTGCAGACAAACAGTCCTACGGAAGCAAACTGCACAGCTTTGACAAAGGATGTGCTACCGCCCTTCTGTGCAAGCAGCAATGAGGCCCTGAGGAGCAACTTATTACTACTGAAGAATATTGTTTTTAACTCTGCCAACCTAGAAATGTTCTTTGTTAGATACTTACAAATGAAAGCTAATGGCACCAGGTGGGGAAGTAAGAACTGAAGTCACTGCTGCTTGCCTTTTTCTTTACTAATTTGATTGGAAAGCATTAAAACCTATGATTAAAACAAACAAATAAATATATATATATATTATTGCTTCCATTCATCTGTTCTCTGTGTGTATTTAGAAAGACTTGTTATTTTTAAAATTACTTTTAACAATTGCAGTATCAGAAGTAAGATTTTCTTGTTATATAGTGCCACAGGAATTCGGAACAATCGGTCAACTTATAAAATGAGAGCAAGTATCTTTTTTCATTGCTTAATTTTATTACTTGTCATTTTTAGCTTTGTCATTCACCTATTGGTGGCTGTTTAGAGTATTTCCATTTTTTCACTATTATAAATGCTTTGAGGAACTTTTTTAATGTAGAAGAAACTTTTTTTATTTTTAAAGCTTTTTTTTTTAACTGTAGTTGATTTACAATGTTGTATTAATTTCTGGTGTACAGTATAGTGATTCAGTTATACATGTATATATACATATTCTTTTTCACTACAGGTCACTACAAGCCACTGAATATAGTTCCCTGTGCTATACAGTAGTACCTTGTTGTTTATTCTGTACATAGTAGTTTGTATATGTCAATCCCAAACTCCCAATTTACCCCTCCCTTCTTCCTCCCCCCACAACCCCTAATAACTATAAGTTTGTTTTTTTATGTCTGTATCTCTTCCTGTTTTGTAAAAAGTTCATTTGTGACTTTTTTTAGATTCTATATGTAAGTGATATCATATGTTATTTGTCTTTCTCTGAGTGACTTCCTTCACTTAGTATGATAATCTCTAGGTCCATCCATGTTGCTGCCAATGACATTATTTCATTCCTTTTTATGGCCAAGTAGTATTCTATTTGTGTGTGTGTGTGTGTGTGTGTGTGTGTGTGTGTGTGTGTGTGTGTATGTATACACACCACATTTTCTTTATCCATTCATCTGTCAATGGACACTTAGATTGCTTCCATGTGTTTTACTATTGTAAAAAGTGCTGCTGTGAATACTGGGGTGCATGTATCTTTTTGAATTAGAGTTTCTCCGAATATATGCCCAGGAGTGGGATTGCTGTAACTTTATTTTTAGTTTTTTAAGGAAACTCCATACCGTTCTCCATAGTGGCTGCACCAATTTGCATTCTTACCAACAGTGTAGGAGGAAGGAATTTCTTAAATAACAAAATTATTATCCTCTTATGCCAAAAGAAATGCTCATGAAAGGAAATATAGAGAAGAAAAATGTATAAAAATACCTAAAATCTACTTAAAAATAGATATTTAATGCTTTGAGCATTCATGTTTATCAGTGTGTACATGTTATCTATATCATTTAGATTACACAAGTCATTACATACATTTATAAAAAATGGATGGCTCTATACATACTTTTTTGAATTTTAAAAAACTTTTTACTTAGAAATTATTTCAAACCTACCAAAAATTGTAAAAATAGTTCAAAACACACACATATACATATAAATATAAATATCTAAAAGTCTGAATAAAGAATATGTAAATGTATATATATATATCCTTTATCCAGATTTTACCTGTTAACATTTTGCTCCACTTATTTATCATTAGTTCTTTCTTTGCATTATATCTGTGTATCTATAAATCTTTTTATTATATCTGGATTTGCAGTCATAGTTGAAAAGAAGCCAAGTTATAGAGAAATTCACTCATGTTTTCTTCTAAGGACTTGTACAGTTTGTGTTTCCATATAGACCACTGCTTCATTTGGAGTTTGTTCTTGTGTATGTTATATGGAATTCATTTTATTTTTTCCAAATTTATTTTTTCAAACTGTCACAGCAGAATTTAGCTAAATTATCTGCCCAGTGGTTTGCAACACCACCTTTACTGGATATTAAATTCTGTATGTATTTGAGTCTATTGCTAGATTTTATATTCCATTCCATTGGTCTCTGTTCATTTGCCTGTACCTCTCTTTTGATTATAGCGGCTCTGTAGTAAGTTTTCATTTCTGGTGGTTCTATCCCCACCTCATAGCTTTCTGTGCAGTATTTTCCTAGCTATTTCTTGCATGTTTATATTTCCATATGAACTTTTTAGCAACTTGCTTAGCTCCATAAAAAAGCTTGTACTGTATTATTGGGGCTGCGTTAGATTTATAAATCAAATTAGGTAGAATTAGCATCTCAATGTTGAGCTATCAGCCAAGAATGAGGCATGTTCTTTCCATTTGTTTAAGTCAACTTTGTGTCTTTTAGGAGTGTTTTATATTTTTTTTCTCCAAAAGATTTACCTCATTGGTTGTACAGCAATTATAATAAACTAGAGTGACAATAATTTAGTTGAAACTCACATACTTGTGAACAAAAAAAGGCAGATGCACTATCAGTGTTAGGTAGATAAACCTCCATTCTCCCAGTTAGAATCTTTGTTGGGGATCTGATGGCAACTGTGGTTGCCAAGCCTTTTTAGCCCTCCTAAATACTGGGACACAAGTCATTGTGATGCTGGGTAGTACCTATGGTTGGGGTCAAGGTATTATTTTGACTGGATTCAGAAATAACTCTCAATTGGACAATGGGTTGATAAAATCTTGTAGGTGGGTCATTTTGAGCCAATACACAGCCAGTGGTTGTAACTGATCCTGCTGAATGTATTTGTGGGAATAGATATTTTAACTTCCCAGTGGAACACACACTTTAGAGAGGCAGTATGGGTTTTGAAAGTGGCAATTCCATAGGGCACCTCTTATTTGGATAGAATGTTTAAGTATGAGGTTGGAGTCAGGGGAGGAAGAAAATCAGAAAGGCTGATACATAACACGATTAGTCCCTTTTCACTCTTCTTTTTTTTCTTTCATGCCTACCTCTTGAAAACCAGCTACTGGTATTTGCAAGTAGCAAGAAGAGTGGGACTGAGGGGTGGGAAACTTTAATCTGGTGTTTCTCTTACTGCCCAATTACGCTTGCTGGATCTAGAAGTTTACAGATATCAGTAATACTGAGCATGGATATGAGGTGACAGCTACACGGGTAGTCTTGGTATGGTCCACATGCCAGGGAGTGAGAGAGCTGTTCTAGAATGGTGCAGTGTATAAATGGAAGAAACTGCTTAGCCATCTAGGGATGGATCTGTCCAGATGGTGTTAATTAGACATGGTGAGGACTGGAAAAGGGTGAAGGGTTTGCTTCAGGGACTCATTACACCATTCACATGCTGTGGAAAGAGAACAGCAACTCTGGTAGAGAAGGAACATCTCAGACCCTGGGAGGTCAGCGGTTGGGGAGGCACCACTAAACTCTCCTGCATTAAATGTCTGTGGAAGAATGCACAGAAAGAGGATGCAGGCGGTAAGATGGATTTACTCTTATACCTGTGGAATTTTGAACCATGTATTTTACATATTCTAAAAACTATTAAAACTTTAAAGATAAAAAACTGTACCTAAATCTGGAACTAAAATTTAGAAATTAACCTTCCCAGGCTGTAAAGCAAGGGTGCTACATAGTAAGACCTAAAATATAAAAAACAGTAAGAACAAAAGTTAGATTTTCTTTTAACAGTGACATACACATTAATTCACGGAATATTCTAGCATGAAAATGTTTCTGGGAATGAATATATACAAGAATAGTGTATCCTGTTAAATCAACTTTATTTTTATTCAATATAACTGATGAAGTCAACAGATAACTATATTTTAATATAACAAAAAGTTATAATTGATAAATTTACCATCTACATTTTAAAATATTTCACAATTACTTTAATATAGCCAAAGACTTAATATTTCAATTCTACCCATTTTTGAATTGTAAAATGCACAATTATAATAATACCCATTCTACATATCTTATAATTTTAAAGTTTTAGCTAAAATGTATGAGTCTCTGCAGGTAAAAGCATGAGTTCTCTTATCCCTAAGACAAATAAAATGTATTACTGATAAAGTGCCACTGGACTAAACAATGCCATTTCAACTATTTCCTTTTTTGGAGAGGAGGATAAAAATATTAGAGAACTAGTAATTTGTATTATATTTTGTAACAAGCACAAGAGTGCTTATTTATAGTAGATATTAACCACAATAAAGAATTCCTCTCAAGAAAGATCACAACTGTGATTTATGATAAGCTGTACAGTCATCAATGAATGTAATTTATGTTCAGAGTTTGTAAGATAAACTTAAGTCTATCAATACCAAGACATAGTTTTAGGGACTTTATGTAAGTAAAGGAACCTCTCTTTCAATTGTAAAGTTGGTTTCAACCTGTCCTAAGGCGGGAGGAATAGTGGTGGACAGTAAAATTTGACAACAAGTATGTTTTTAGCAGGTGAAAGCCGCATATGCATTGCTATAAGATGCATCTTTCATGTGAGGAAAACGTGCTAATTAGATGGATACAGCACTTTTCAGGCACTTGACCTCACTTGGTAGTTAAGTTGGTGTTTAGATTTTTATTTAATGGAAAAACATTGAATTATATAGGACTTCAAGCTACAGAACATCTGTGTTCCGTAAGCTAAATCCAATGTTCCCTACTAAAATCAAATAATGCCATATATCCAATTCAGCAGAAAGAAATTTAAGGGATTGAAGTTAACAGATTGAATTTTCTCAATTTTAAGATTTTGCACAATAAAATTTGTTAAGCCTTTGTTGACTGTTACCTGTCTGAATGTTAGGAGAAAAAAAGGCTTAAAAACTATGAAATATTATGCCTAAATGATACCAGAAGATTTTGAACTATTGATCAGTTCAATATAATATACTGTTTATGGAAATATGCTTACAGATTGTGCATATACTGCTTAAGAGCCATATTTTCTCTAAGTTAATTTGTTCCTAGTTCATATTACAGAACTCAATATGTAAACATTTTAATGTACCAAAGAAAAGCACTATGAACTTTTGTTCTGTTGTGCCTAAATATGTTTGAGAATCACTGTATCATTGTCTGGCTCTAAAGTTACTTTTGGGGTCCATGCCAAAGGAATGCTTTCAGATATATCATTAAGGATAAGGTTCTAAGATAAGACTACCAAATTCTATTACAAAATGAAAAAAATATGTTAAGAGTATAGATGTTACCAATGTTCCCATTTTTTTCTTGAATATTTAGCATATAGTTTATATATGTTGATATTAAGGATTTTTTATTTGTATATATCACTGTATTACAACCTGGGAAAATTTTGCAACATACTTTTAGGCAGTTAGCTTTAAAATAATGAAACTTCAGCTCTTAGCACAAACAGCCCTGAGAACAATGCATTCAAATTACAGCTCAACTAGAAATAATCTAATTGAGAAACTTTAAAATACAAAAACAAATTCTGGAAAAGTTGTAAAATAAAAAAAATTACCAACATTTGAGGCACTACCAGACTACAGTACTTTTAAGAGTTGGAAGGACTTTGTAAAAAGAACAAACATACAAAGCTATGTGTGCACATGCACACATTCACATTGTGCTATAATGAAAAATTGTATCCCCAAACTTTATAGTCTAAACATTTTTTTGCAGCATCTCCTATTAAAGATATCATGCTCTGGCTGCAGGAGACTTTTGGTAATTGTTATAAAGCATTGGTACTGAATTTTGTACCATAAATGGAAATGGATTCAAGAGCTTGGTTAGCAATAATTTTAAGTGACTGACAGCCCTTGTAGGGGAGCATGAAAGAAATATCATAATTATGTTTATGATGCAAATGCTAAGTCAAAGTAGCAATAATTTGATCTATTTCAGAGGGTATACAACTTCATAGCAAGTAAGGTATGACAAAATCTCCACAGTAGAAATAAAATACATTGTTCTAGAAAGAAACAAATATTCCACTTATTATTGTAATATTGTATATAAATTTGTGAAATGCCTGCAGACAAAGAGGTGTTTTCACTGTATAATCTATCAACGTGAAAGTCTACCTTCTATACATGGTAACTTTGATATTTAACATTTGCTACAAAAGGGTACAACAAATACTAGGAATCAACTTTTAACATTTCTGATGTCAAAAAAGAATGAAGTTACTTCTATTCTGTTAAAAAATATGTTTCCCTGCTTCCTTTTAATACAGTTTATAAAGCTTTACTAAATGAAATATTTTTTGAGAGAAATATGTATTGACTTATGTGAAAATAAACAGTCCCATGTCTTTAAAATCTATTCTTATAATTATATGTCAGAGGAGTATTTATACTTCATTATAGTACTTAAAATGAAATATTTATGCATAAGTAGCTTTTGCCATTCAAGGTATGATGACAGAGATGCGTTGTTACAATTTAATATAGGCTTATCTCACAATTGAAAATATATTTATGTGAAGTTTGACAAGTTAAGAACAAGGGCATGCTAATCTAGAATTAATACTAAACCAGAACACTAGTATGGTTAACTGGGGTCATCTGAGTGACCAGCAAGCAGCACAGACTGATAACTTTCTAGAGTTCTTGTGGGTAACAGTGCCAATCAGTTGCAAGTAAGATACACATTACAGAGTGCTAAAACCTAAAGCAATATGTAGCAGATACTGAAATGGAATACTGGAAAGAATTTAGCCTAATTACTAATTGTGCTTCAGATGGGCAAAAGCTAAAATGTTATACTAAAAATGACTGGCTACAACCTCAATATTTTTTGTGCTTTAGAATTCCTCCTGCATTTCCTTAAAGTACTGCTTCTTCTCCAAATGGGTTTGCTGAGGCCAATACAAGATTTAAAAGTATGTGAAAATTAAGTAACTAATACTTTGGGATCTTCTGTTCTTAATGGTATTTTGAGTCGCTGATGAGACCAGTTACAGCATGACACATATTTTCCTCTAGACACTAGGTACAAAGGCCTTTTAGAGGTCAGAGCATGATGGAAGAAGTCTTAAAACCAGTCTTAGAGAATGAAGGTATTACTGAAATATGATTTTGTTCTAAGTTTCACTGCAACATGATGATTGTTATTGAGTCAAAGGTCCTCACAAACCCTGTGACAATGTCTAGAATTCTGGAAATAAGAGATACATGATCCAAAAGACTAAACAGAAATGTAGCAGAATCACCTAAAATTCTTTCTTAAATAATTCAGTTTATAGAATTTTTCTCTAGTTATATTTCACATATGGAACAGAATTAAGTCACATGATAACCAGATAAAATACATATACTTCTTAAGTTAAACAATAATTATCACATAAAGTAACTTTTCTTCCATGATACACTTTCACTTTGGAAAAAAATAAATTGAACAAATGATCCAAGTCAATTTCAAGTAAGAATTTCCAGTTTTTGTCTGATAAATAAATATTTTGATGTTAAGGAAGTCTACTTAAAAATGGTTGGAAAGGAGTGACTCCTGCAAACACTAACATTTATTCAACATAATTGGTAAAAAGCACTGCATAGTATCCTGTAAACCAGGTCACTCCTTTACATACAGAGAGAGAGAACACAAGTTAAAAGCAGAAACACAAACAGAAAGAAACTTTCTATTTTTATGCTGATTACAAAATCCTCAAATAAAACCCTATAGCTTTAAGCAACTCCCTTTGCCACTGTCCTGTGTCTTCTTTACCGTAAGACTTGCTAACAGTCATGCAGCAGTTTAATGCCTCTGTCAAGCACAAGCAAGAACTGAAATCACCATAATACAAGTTAAGTCTGCCAGCAATTTGGCAAAGAACAGAAAGACCAAGGTAATACAGGTGGCTGCACATGGCTACTAAGATTTGACACTTTTTGATAATATGATTTTGGTTGAAGGACCTATACTTGCCACACTCAGGCTGAAGCTGTGACAATTCCAATCCATGATATTCTGATACTAAGTTTGAAATTACTGCAGAGCAATTCAACTTAAATGTGGTACGTCAATACCACTAGATGCTACATTGTTTGATCTAAAACCCTGGTTTACTTATCATTTAACTAAAATTCAGGAATGATCTGCTCAGACGAATCACATTTGCCCAAACTATCCTGTCTGTTTCTTGGGCTTACGTACTGAAACCGCAGGAATGTTATAGGAAAGACACCTACAAAATTAAAAAACAAAAGAATTATACACCTTGATTATTGTTTGAAATTACTAGTTGCCTGCAAAACTAACTCAGCACAATTTCAAAACAATTAAAAAAGAAATGAGGTTGCTTATGAAGGCCATAGCTTTGGTGACAACTTAGAACCAGACTTTAGATCTGCAGTTGATCCAGACCTAAACAGTTTGCTGATGCCTGATGTTCCCATTTATTTGCAGGGCTTTATGGCTACAGCATATTCTTCACTCATTGCACACATGACAGATACCTAGAAGGGGAAAATGCAGGCAAAAAGTTATTCAGAAGGCATTACATACATAAGAATATACATAAATATACATAAGATATATTTAATTCATTGTACACTGGATATATTTGTAGATACTTTATACATATTGACTTTGGAAAGAGGTATTCTAAGACCAAATAAATTACTTTCTTTATAGTTTTCTAAAGCAGAATTTCTCAAATTGTGGTTTTTAAGACTTCCAGGGAACAGGGAACATAAGAGCTATAAATGTTTTAATACTAGAGTAATCACCTTCACTCTTCAGTATTCTCATAGCATCCTTTCTTATCCTTAAGAACAGTTCAGGATGATCTTCAAAACAAGTTTGGGGCTGACACTGTCTATGTAGCAAAAAATGAACTTTGACTCTTTGGTAATGGGTCTCTAAGGGGATCCTGGGAAGACTGCCTTCTAGAGATCATTTTCAACATTTCAGCAGTATTTAAAAGCTATATTTCACATAGCTTTTAAAGTTTTTATAGAATGGTTTAAAAAAGCAATCTTCCCATAGGTCTTTACCTGTACATCTTCACCTGCATTATATTTTCCTTCTATTTCTTTGCCTAGTTCACCTTCTGGCAGCTTAAGATCCTCACGAACTTCACCAGTTTCTGTCAGCAGGGAAAGGTAACCATCCTGAATGCATATCAGCTATTGAAAGAAATTATAGCATTTGAATCAATTAGGTTATATCTACTCCTTTGTAATATTTACATAGTTATGTGGCAATCCACATTAATTTGTACAAGAACATAGTAATACATTAAGAAATTTTTGGTGCTTGAGAATGGTAAACATACAAAAGCATGAAATAGGTACAGACAAAAAGTGTAAGTTCATTCCTCCCTGTACTCTCCCTTCCCCCAAATCTCTGCATTATTAAACTGTTTAGGCTTTAAAAAATTAATTAATTTATTAAAATTTTTTAATCAGTCTTTTTGGCTGTTGTTGTTGTTGTGGGGAGATAACTAGGTTTTTATTTAATTTATTTATTTTTAATGGAGATACTGGGGATTGAACCCAGGACCTCGTGCATGCTAAGCAGGCATTCTACCACTGAGCTGTACCCTCCCCCCTAGTTTAGGCTTTTTTATTGTGTATCCTGAAGCATTTACATTTATGGACACAATATAAATACGGTAGCTTAAAAAAATGAGATATTGTATTTTTCAGCAAGCTGTTTTCACTTAGTGTGTTTTAGAAATCTTTCCATATTGGAAAATGTGGCCCAACCTTAGTCTCTTTAATCTCTTCACAACTGCATAGATATACTGCAACTGAGTTAACCATTTTCACACTAATGGGCATAAAAGTTATTTTCAGTTTTTCACAATTACAAAAACCTGTGTTTTATAATTTGATTATGAAACAAGCTGAAGTGGAAAATTTTAGGTCTCCAGCTCACTGCTAACAACATTAGATTTTTTTAAAAAGACAAACACTAGCTTACTGATGTCATTAATGAAACAAAGTCATCACCTAACCTGCGAAAAGGCATAGTTTTGATATCATTAAATTTTTTTCATTACAGGTATAAGCAAATAGGCAGGCCAAATCCATTTATTCTAAAAGCATGTATGCCACCAGCGTGCCTAGAATTCTAATGGGTTTTATAAAAAGCAATCACCCAGAATACCAAATGCTAACACTGACATACACAACAGAAGTCCAAGACATGGTCCTTGATCCCCTCTAACCACGATGACATAACACATGCACAAAACAGAGGTAGAGTTTCAAAGCTCTCCTCCATGGCAGGACGAAACCTGGCAGTTGCTTTCCACAGGAACCCTACCTAGCACAGGAGATTTCAGTTTTTGTATGAGTCTACAGTCTCAAAAACAAAAAACCACCCTACAAACACTTTTAGTTAATCTACAAACTACAAACACTTTTAGTTAATCTTTTGGTCATCCAAACATTTGTGAGGTAGTTGGTAGAAAAGTGGGGAGCAAGATGGTTACAATAGAAGTGTAATTTTTAAACAATTAACCACAGGCTTTCAAAGCAGACCTTTTTTATTTTGGCTCTTTTAGCAAGTCCCTGAAATAAAATTTATCTATTTCAAGAGTTAAAGGTTCCCACTCCTTAGTGACTGACCTTTAAGACAAATAATAATACTAGTATTTTGATATTTATATGATATTTTATTTTTCAAGAGTTAAGAATTCATAAAATAAATATAAAGTATTTCAAATACAAACATGTAGACATAAAACATCTAGTAAAAAATGTATAAATATTATACATCTTATGAAAATAAATTGCAATAAGATAAAATTTAAAATTTCAGAAATAAAACTAAGCTATAGAAAAATAAAATTAAATAATAAAAATTAAGTATTTCATCTTACCTAAATTATTAAAAAAAGTTCAGATATAGAGAAAAGTTGCACAAATAACGCAATGAAATCCCTTATCTTTTACCTAGATTTACACTTTGTTAACATTTAACCACATGTGCACTTTTTCTCTCTCTGTATATATGGAATATATAAATTGTATACCATAAATATTCTTATTCTTTTCTTATTTTTACTGAATCATTTGAGAGTAAGTTTCAACCATTATGACTCTTTAGCAATAATACCTCAGTGTGTTTTTCCACGAACAAGGACAGACTCTTAAATAACCACAGTTTATTTTTCAAAATCAGGAAATTCAATATTGTGAGCATATTATTCAACATATAGTCCATACTCAAATTTTCCAATTGTCCCAATATTGTATTTAATAACAACTTTTCCCTCTCAACTCCAGGATCATGACTTGTATTTATTTGGCTGTCATGTCAGTTTAGTCTCTTTTAATTTGAAACAGTTCCTGACCCTTTGTCTTTCATGACATTGACATTTTTTGACGAGCACAGGCTCACTCTATTATAGAAAGTTCCTCAGTTTGAGTTTATCTGTTTCTTAATGATTCAGGTAATGCATTTTTGGAAGGATTACTACATAAATGATGTGTCCTCAGAGTATCACACCAAGAGGCCAAATGATGTCAGTTTGTCCCATTACTGGTGATATTAGCTGTGCTCACTTGGATAAGATAGTTATCTGCCAGCTTTTTCTACTCTCATGGTACCATTTTCCCTTTTATAATTTTCAATCTTGAAAAAAAAAAAGCTAATGGTTGCTGAGTTTCAAGCATATTTCTGGGCAACTTTTTTGATTTCCCCTCAAAGCCCTCTCTGATTCTATAGAGTTAGAAGGAGAGGACGGCAAGGAGACAATTATATGTCAATTCTAAATATTCTTTCTGATCCTTCACCTTTAAACAAATCTACTCAATTGATAACTTTGAGGTGTTTATGACTTTTTTTTTTTTGGTAGTGAGAAAAATCATTTTGTTAATAGCAAGCAAGGAAACAGGAGAGGGCAGGGTGAGAAAACTTGTAATATAGGAGTCTGGCAAGCAGTGGTGTACCAACCTGCTGAAAGACATATGAAGTTATACCATACCCCCAAATACCAGTATCAGAATGTGGTATCTATTATTTCCTACTAAAAGAATCCAGTGTACGGTGCTATTTCTCTCCATAGGGCTCCTTGGAAAAACACATACTTCCAGGTCCAGAATAAGTATACAAGATAAGAATGCATGGTGCTATCAAAGACCACTAGGTCTGTATCAAAGGAACTCAAAGAGCTAACCAGAAAAAGGTCCCTCTTGCCAAAGATGGAACAATTTGGGAATCGATAAGGATAATAACTACAATGGATTGAAACACAAATGTGTTTAAATGCTTCTATTCAAAGTGGAAAAAAAATTTCATTGGTCATGTTCAGTAGGTGCAAGAGAACCAACTAATTTTGAATACTAATTAAAGGGGAAAATCATGCATTTATATTGGCTTTCCTGTTATATACTGTACCACAAAGTAAACAAAAAAATTGATGAACTAAAGTTTATAGAAGTGTTCTGGCTTTTTTTTTTGAAGAATAAAATTACTATTTTGTCTCTCCTAATAAATTAATGGATTGAGGCAATGATTACCTATCTGATAACATCACACACAAAAAAATCAGACTTAACTACCTTGATGGTTGCACAGAACATCACCTATGGAATTGTTCTTTGAAGAAAAAGGAGGAAGAAAATAGAAATCTAAAATGGATCTGATCAAGACTCTACATCTAATTTTCAATTTTCAGGAAATATATGGGACAAAGGAACATGTTAAACAAGGAAATGCAATTAGCAGAATACAGACTGTGGGGAAGTCTACAGATCAAACGATCTAGTTTCTTCATCAAAAAATGAGAGAGAGAAGGGAGGAAGGAAAGAGAGAAGAGAGGGACCTCAGGGCATGTAGGAGAGAGGGAAACCTATAAAACAGATTTAAGAGATACCTCAACCAATTTCAACATGTGGACCTTATTTAGGACCTGATTTAGACATACTATAAGACAAAAAAGTAACCATCACATCCAAAAAAGTAAAAAAACAAAGAAACAAAGACAATTAGGAAAATGCAGATACTGACTGGATATTTGACAATATTAAGGAATTTTTAATTGTAAGGGTGCCACAGTGTGCCTTGATTTTGTTTTTTACAGTCCTTATCTTTAAAAAATGCATAATAGAATATTTACAGATGAAATGATAAATGATATAGTATGTGGGATTAGCTTCAAAATAATCAGGTAGAGTGTACAGGAAATAAAGTAGGTGGTGGGATACAGATGAAACAAGATTGACTATGTAATGATAATTGTTGAAGCTGGCTGATGGGTACATGAAGTTCATCATATTTTGAAAATGTCCACAATAAAAAGTAAAAAAGAAAAATGTATATCAGAATACTAGAAAGAGCAGTGTAGCCACTAAATTGCTGGAGATACAGGGAACTGAGGAAGAAAAGCATGAACTGAAAGGAAAGATGGAGAAGAGCTACTGACTGCAGATTCTGTCCATGATGTGGTCAGAATAAGCACGAACACTGAAAAAGGAGAATTATGGAGAATATTTTTGCCTGTATTTGTATTATTGATATACAACAGCAGGAGGCTGGAGACAGCATGGCATCACTGCAGGTGCCTTCTTAGCCCTAATTTCTGAATTTAATTTTATTTTATTTCTCAATCTATTCCAAAACAGACAGACTTTTCCTTCTCCTTTTCCTCTCCCCCTAGCACTCTCAAGCTACTTCCTTAGAGCTGCTGGTCCCTGGGAGAGACTGAATGCTTGATCATTGTTACCATACAGCTCAAGCAAATAACACTATCATCAGCTGGAGTGTTATCTGACCCACCAAGCCATGAAGGTGAGTATGCACGGCAGCACTCCATCATCAAGTGGAAATAGCATATAGGAGGTCAGCCTAAGCAGATCCGAAAGGCATAAACAAGTTGTATGAGAAGTAGCTCAGACTCATAAAGGACCTTCTTCTGCAATATTAACAGCTTCTCCCTCAGCTCATACCAATGGCTTTCTGGGGAGTTGCCTATGACCAGCTGACTGAAAAAGAAAAAAACTAGGATTGGTCTCTAGGTGGTTAAGAATGGTCTGATGAAACTATTCAGAGGTGACCCTGAAAGATAGTGGGGGTGAGAAGAACTTCATGTACTGGATTTGAAAGAAGAGAGAACCAGAGGTTTGGATTTACACTGATTGTGGGCAATGGCTATGAGTCTGGATGGAAGGTCAACAACACTGAAAGAACAAGATAGGAAAATTGCTGACAGTAAGGTCTGGGGAAGTGGTATGTGGAGAGATCTCTCCAGAAAGTTAGAGAATGTGTTCATATGAATGCTTACCAAAGGGACACAGTACAAAGGAGGTGGACAATTAGGTGGACAAGATGATTCTATCTGTGAATGTCATTTAACTTCTTTTTGTAGTCTTCCCAGTCCTTGCTCAACTGGCTCATGGAACTACTGGCCATGGTGGCAGGGCTCAATGACACAGGTTTTCTCTCACCAAGGCTGATCTGACTACAGCCATTACTGAGTACCTCACAGTACAGAGTCCTTGATATGGCACCATTCCCCAGAGGGAACAGCCAGCTGCCTGGTAATACTGTACTCCTTCCATGATGGAAGAGGTGGCAGTTTGTGCTCATTGCAATAGATCTTTACTCTGCATGTAAATTTGCCTTCGATGCCTGCAGTGCTTCTGCTAAAATCTCATCTGCAGATTTATAGAATGTCGCATTCCCGTCAGTACCTCACATAGTATCATCTCTAGCTAAAAATTCATTTGACAGGCAAAATAAAAAGATAACAGGACAACACTCAGAGAATTCATTGGTCTATTGTACTCCATCATTCTAAAACAGCTTGCCTGTGTGGACTGGCCTAAAGAAGACTCATCTTTGCCACCTGCTGGATGATATTATATGGACCTGGGTGCTGTTTCACAGGTTACAATACATTCCAAAAATGGTACTATTTCTCCCATAGGTAGAATACACGGGTCTAGGAACCAAAAGTAGGAGGCTCTTCTCCCTATTACTTTTAATGATACTGTAGCAAGTATTTGTTTCTTGTCCCTGCTATGCTGGGATCTGCTGGTTTAGAGGTTTTCTATTCCTAAAGAAAGACTGCTTCTATCAGTAGAGAACACAAAGATTCCACAGAACAGGTAAAAATTATAAAAAGACTTTAGGCACAAATAATTCATAGCATCATTAATTTCTTTGTTGTTCTATTTTAAGTTGCAACAACAAAATTCAACTCCATATCCGAAAGGCATATCACTTATTTGAAGAATATACTAGGATTTAATACTCATAGTTCTGGCAATTCACCAAAGATCCACAATATATACTTTAACATGTCTTGTACTGGTAGGATTTCCTTCTGAAAAAATGGTCTTTAAATGACAGATAGAACTTTGTAAATACAGAAAAGGCATTTAACTTGGGTTGTGGTGCACATGAACACAGAACTTTCTAAGGAAATATGATTCAAGTGAGTACCAGAGTTTGAACAAGCATGTCTATATTTAAGAGTCTGGGGATTCCCAAAGGTGTTTGGGTGCATTTGTATTTTACATGATCACTGAGCCTCAGACAACAATCACTACTTTTGGGAGAAGCGATGGAAATGAGCAATTCTAATCCAGTATCATTTTAAAACACATAAAGTTAAAACTGTAAATATTAATATGTTTCTTCCCCTAAACAAAGACTTACTTTTTAATTATTATAATGAACATATATATATGTGTGTACAAATACAAAGGACTACATGTAGCCCAATAATAAGTAGGAATTTAATCAAGGCACTTGGATAGGTGAGTCATGAAGACCACCATAGCACAATAAATATAACCAGAAAGGTTCATAAAACTAATTTTTTAAATGAACAGAAATAAGTATTCTATGGTGACTTGATAGTAAAGGGATGTGATCACTGAGTACTTACTATGCAAATCCTGTTCTAAGAATTGACTAATTAAACCTCACAATGATTCCATGATAAGTTTATCATTCTTATCCCTATTTTATAAATAAAGGCAGGTGAGAGATTAACTGACTTGCCAGCAGAAGTCACGCAATTAGTAAGTGCCAAAGCAAGTATGTGGGCCCAGGCTGTCCTGCTTGAGTCACTGTCTTATCCACTCTGCAACAGACTACACACCAAGGCTGGGACTAGGGTAAGGCAAATGAGGACTCACTTTGGGTGCAAAACTTAAGGTGGCACGTGCACGTGCGCACCCCCCTCACAGTGATCAAGTTTTAAAATTAGAATTAATGCAAAAATTCTATGGTGAACAAAGTATCAACATTTTAAATAAAGACAGGATCAGAATTGCTGATTTTTCCCTTTGACTTAGGCCTCCGTGTGGCTTGCCATTGTTACTGGTCCTGTCTTTATTTAAAATTTTGTGCTTGAGGCAAGGGCTTCACTCATGTCATCCCCCTCACCCTAGTCTAGGCTCTGCTATATCCCAAAACAAAACCAAAACCAAATTTATTTTTATGTTAAATCTTGAGCTCCAATCAATGATAGGCTAATTTGATCATAGTAGTTATCTGAACTACTGATACCATCTTTCTGAAATAGTCAAAGGCAAAAGCATTGTATATTGAATGAATATTAATGAACAGTGAATATTCAAAGTATTCACATGTTAGTATGAAAACAGAAATCCACTTTTGGCAAGGAGAAATTCTATACTTAGCCTTAGTTGACTGCACTATCTTTATCTCATTGAATAATCACGTATGCCTTTAACAAATGTTTATTGAGCACCCACTGTATGCCATGTCTACATTGGGTGCTCTAAGAATAATGGAATGATTAAGTGGAATTTTCATACTGGAAATGGGGAAGCAGGAAAGAACTACTTTGTGGTACGTATCTGCTTATGAGGTAATTATAGGGTAGATTTTTTTCACTTAATCCTCATATTATCCATACTTTGTAGATGAGAAGACTGAGGCTCAGAGAGGTTGAATAATTTGCCCAAGGTCACCCAGCTAGAAAGTTGCAGAACTAGATCCAAACCCAGATCTGCCTTACTTAAAAAAAAAGCAAGCAAGCCTTACTTCAAAACCTTGCTATTATTATGCTAAGACAATTCACATTTCTACAAAGACTCCAAAGCAACCTAAAAATGTTTATGATAAGTAGGAAAATGAAAATATAAAACTGCTTACTAGATTAAAACTGTGTAAAATATGTTTACATGTGAACAAAAAGTAAAAGGAAATCATTGGATAATTGCAGTTAATGGTAACATTTTTAAAGAATTATACAACACAATATAAAGTATAGAAAGTAATCAATTTAAATTGGGTAAAACAAATCCAGGAATCACATTTGCATTTTTCACTATGCAAAATGAATAGAAAAGAGTTCTATAGATAGTATGCTTGATAAAGAAAGTGAAGACTTTCAAGAAGACTTTAGTTAGGATTAATCTGAGCTCCCACATCCTATGAGGTCAATGGTTTGGTTGCCATCAGCACTCCAAACAACAAAATGCTATCATTAAACATGACTTATCCAACTGTATAACTGGAACTAAAACTTGCAGTTTATACCTATAATTTAACTAAAGGTCACAGCATGGTCACTGAATATAAATAAAACAATTACAAAGTTTTTTATTTTCTTTACCATACTCAGTGACCATATACTTTATCCTTTGTATTTATGGCTTTCAACTTATTCTATTTAAGAATACCAAATTCTGACACACATTAATATACAAAAACTTGCTGGTGGAACATAAAGTCCAATAAGTTCTTAAAAGTCTTAAGTCTGGTAAGGGAAAAGAAATACCTGGGAAGGAGTTATCTAAACTTGAAATAATCTACAACAAAGGGAATAATAATTTAACTAAACATTAAACTCACAATATGGAGTCACTTGTTCTGAGAAATAATAAGTGTTCAAATTTTTATAAATGCAAGAATGTTAAAAGTGGCAAACTAGCAATCATCCTAGATAAGGCACAAGTGTTAAATATCAATATCACTATTTCTCCAATTTCTAAGCTAAGTGGTAGCTAACAGTTAGAAAAACCTAGAAAACTACTTGTGGGTGTTATTAAATTACAATAGAGAGTAGAGGGTATTTGCACCTTTAAGAAACAAGGAGAAATTAGTACTTACTTGATAATCATTTCTCTTAATATTTGGAACATCCATGTTGTGAGTAGAAGGGCAAATATCTTCATACTTTTTGCCCGTGAAAATATCAATGCCAACAAGGTGAACCTAACAGAGAGGAGGGAACAGGAAACCTGTTTAATCTTTGCCAAGGTATCACTCATTACATACACAAGAGCACAATACCAACGCTGATTATGACAGATTCTTTCTGTTTCCAAGGTCATCTAATTTTACTTTCTTAAAAAAAAATGTACTGGTCATACAATTGAGAAGCAGTGAACAACTAAACAGTATCATGACATATCAAGACCCAATAGCAATATACAGTTCAATTCAATTGTAAAGTGCTTAAGAAAAATGAAATTAGGTTTCTTAGAATGATGTTAGAATAGGTTTTCTCATTTGTAAAATGAATAGATTGTCTAAATCACTAGGATTCAGGAAAGTTTCAGTTCCTAGTAAATGAAACATAAGGGCCCAGGAGGGAAATGCTACCTTTCAGTATTCAAATAGCTGATCACCCAGTAATTATGGGATGAAAAAATTGTGTTATTATATACAGTTGTCAGTACAGAAACCTCATGTTCTGTAACGGAATGCAAAGGATCAAAATCCCAATGCCAAGACAGTCCTGGAAGGGCATTTACCTTGGCATGACCGTGCTTTCCAGTTTTCGAAGTTGACATATCCACTATTTTGCATGGTCGTCCTTTGAGCACCACGAAGCCGTTTTTGCGCAGGGCCGAACACTGCATAGGGTAAGTGCTGGAAGCCCCAGCATCTCCAGTAGTAAAATCAATTTCATCCGCCATGGTAGGCTGGGGAGATGGTTGCTCTTCTGAGGGAACTATGCAAAAAGTTTGCTTGCTTTTTAACAACTGGCATGCAGGCAGGCAGACGCCTCATTTCGGATAGGTTACGAGCCAAGCATCATGGATCTATTATTTTTGCATTTATAGAACACCCACCTATAATAATGGGGACTTTCTAACTCTGGCCTCTACAAACTTTTCCATCCACTAGTGGGGAGGTGGGAGGGAAGTCGCAGAAGAGCTCGCTGGGGGTGGGGGATACCCGCCCAAAGCGTTCACCTGCGCTGAGGGATGGAAATCCCGGCCCCCAGCGTCCCATCGCAGGAGAAGCCAAAGATCTTTCCG